AGAGGATGATCCCCCAAGAATATCCTTAAATGAACTAGTCTTACCATTTTGAACCACAGCAGACGGTGGGGAAAATGACGACGGAGTCTTCATCCCCCAAACAATCGAAAAACAAAAAGAAAATCAATGAAGAAAATAAAAATAGCAAAGAAGGGCACACAGGCGGAAGGAAAAATAGATCCACCGAAAAAAAATCCACCATAAAACATAGGAGAAGCCCCCAAGAAGAGGTCGCCGACAGAAACCCTAGATCGCTCGAGAGTCGCCCAGAGCACCAAAGTAAAGCGTAGCTTACATGAGCAGGCTGATGTATTATATGTACACATGTGACATCTAGGGATATTGTATGAGTTAATAAATGAACTATAATTTAAGCCCTATCCTTCTATAATGATAGATAGGAGTCAATATGCTCAAATTATCAAACAGACATATTATCAAGGCATCAACTAGAATATTTATTTTATACATTCAAATAAGGTGTTCAAGGTCGATGACAAAAGAAATCCATCAATAAAAATATAAAGCCTAAAAATCCAATCAACTGTCAATGGGTAGGTACAGTTGACAATGTTCAATCCATACATAAAAATATCTAAAAGTACCCCGATGATAGTCGTATTGAATGTAGATCTTAATCGAAGGGGTTAATTTAAAATATTTTATATACCTCCCAAATGCCCACAAAAGCTTAAGAAAATCCCAAACATCATGAATTCTGAGATATTTAAATCTAAAATCTAACCATAAAATACTTAAAACAAAATTCATCCACCCTCCACAATAGTTTGCTGGGTAGACAAATTAGAATTTACTCTAACTCACATAGAGCTAATGCCTAGTCAAAAATATCACTATGATGTATTCTCAAATAATCTCTTGCTAGTAAAGATATAATACACGTCCTCTAACCAAATAGCACCGCAGGATAAACCATTATGACCCTAGGCCCTATAAACTAAGTGGATTTTCCACCAAATGGTATCACTAAATTACGGTTATGACCAAAGGCAATAAGTTTCTAAGTGATATCAAATTCTTGAGATATAAATCAATATAATCGATAAGGCACAATGCCCTCTATCAGCTAAGGTGGATTCAACTTTTTTCCCTTAGGCAAAAATATTCATCTCAGGTCTATAAGGTATCCTTGGACAAAGCAACCCATGGTTGTCGACAAGGATCCTTCTGTCAGGTTGGGTTGGGTTGACTACCTCGTCTGACTAAGTAGACTAGGGACCACAATGGCCTGGGATGACAGAACCATGGGATCTTTATCGAGTTCATCATCTATTCCCCTACCATCCACTTTAAGTGCAAGATTGTGAAATTTTTAATTATAAATATCAAATATTTAAAATTTCAAATGTTTATACTGCTACTATATGCCAGATAATACGTATTCTTATGTATCTAATTGATGAGTAACATTAATCAAAAGCTATCTCTCATTATTGAGATAGGTAATTAACTATAGTGGCTTGCGCCTATAAGAAACGAGAACTCAGATCATAAAGTCCTCGAAAAATGAGGATGATATCTCTGGGTAGTGTCTTATCTACAAACTTATATGTCTTCCTAAAATTTATCATGTAACTTAATATATTAAAACTCCCTCGGAAAAACAGTGGGGGAGGCTGGGGCCGAATTTTCGGAGCCCACACTCCTCTTTTTTGAGAATAATATTCAACATAATTTTGTTATTAAATCATTAAATTTGATGATTTAGTCTAAAAAATCATTAATTAATCAAAAATATTATGGTAAATTGGTGTGTTTTCTATCCTTTTAGAATCATAAAAAATAAAAAAAGTAGATCAAAGAAAACCTACGAGCCAGTGGTTCCTTTTCATAAGATTACAAGAAAGACATAAAAAATAACTCGGGCTGTGAGCAGACAACACCCAAAAAAGGAATATCAGAATAATCTTGTTCAGCACCATCTTCCTGCAAAAATGTTGAAGAAAATAGAACATCAAATAAAGACACCAAAAAGGGAGTACCTTGCACTCATTGAAGCTCCCAAAATAAAAATATAATTTATCCCTGCAAGGCACTCTCCAAAAAGAAATATTAGACATATAGTAAATAAAACTGATCGAATATATAATAACTCTTAAAGTTGTAGTGAGAAAATAGCCCCAGATTACTCCAACCAGACCAATTGAAAATCTGATTAGTCTCCTTCCTCATAACCACTAAATTGGGCCAATTCTTACAGAAATAAGGAATCGAATCACTATTCCACCTCCAGCAATCACCAAAACTCTTTTGAGCATTAATAAGCAACCACATAACATCCACCCTCCTCCACCAAAGCAGAACAAAATTTCAAATATGAATGCAAAATAAAGTGATAAACCATATCTGGAGAGAGGGCATACCCATGATACCCGCCAAACTCCAATTCCACCAATAATTAATCAGAAAACAAAATGCAGCATCCACCCGACAATAATCAAAGAAAACCTCAGTAGAATAGGTAAACTAATATCCATATAACAAATAAATTAATGATACAAAAAAAGACATAAAAACTAACCCAGATGAAGAAAAAAACATTTCCAACTCCCAGGAAGCCCAGAAAAGAAACCAAAGAAAAGAAAACCCCCGAAGAACAACAGACCAAACACCACAAAAGAAATAATGGCAACAAACACGAAAACCATAAGCACCAACAACAAAAAGTCATCTAGGTCTAATATAAGGCAGACCAATCTTATCCAGATTAACCAAACCTTTCAAAATATGAGGCAAATAATCAACATCAAATTCCCTATCCTCCTCAAATCTACTCCCAAGTTTAGCCAGAAAATCAGCACACGCATTTCCCTCTCTTAAAACATGCTTAATCGTATAATTAAGAGTAGGAGGGCCATACGAATTTTCCTGATAATGCAAAAGAACTGAGGACAATAAACATCAACATTTTTAATACTTTGAATTAAATTTAAAGCATTCACCTCAATCTCAATGTTAAAAAAACCTCTATTGTTACAAATATAAAGACCTTTAAATAAGCCCATCAGCTCAGCAAAAATGACCTTACACGGAGATAAAGGGCCCGCATAAGCCATAATCACTTTACCAATATTGTCACGAATAACACCCCCAAAACCAGCAAAAGACCGATCAACAGAACCATCAGTATTAAGCTTCATATAAGGAAACATCGATTTTAACCATCTAACAATTAACTCTTTCACTTCTAATCAGCTCCTCAGTATGAATAGTGATACCCAGGTTCACACACAAAGCATCACAATGTATGAAATTTTTTCTCGAAATAAGCTTGACAGAAAATAATTGAAGCAATTTATGATTAATATTGGAGATAATAACCTTATCCTCCTTCTTAACCCCATTATTCTTAGCTTCATTATGAGCTTTCCAAAGGAACCACAAAATAAGAATAGGTAACAAGTTAAGCACATGACCTTTAACCATGGACATCCAATCAGTCAAGAAGGACTAAACACTATTAACATATATAAAGTCTATAACATGAATAAGTTTGTTAACAATCATAGCATAATAACTCTACACTTTTTGAGCAATATTACCATTGAGGAAAACATGATTAATACTTTCAATATTAGAACAGCAATGGAATTTAGAAGGAAGATAAAAACCTTTATTCCCAAGACGAGCATCCACCGGCAAAAACCTTTGATACATCTCCAAGCAAAAAATAGAGTAAGATAAAGGAATATTGTTGTGCCAAATAGAACCATAAATATTAGAAATATCATTATTGATTCTAAACACCTCCCACATATTTTTAATTTTAAAAAGACCATTGGTAGAGCTGTTAAAAGGAATACGATCAGGCTCAATAATATTCAAAGGGATGCTCATAACATGATTCAAAATCTCCTCAAGTAAAATATGTCTAAGCTTATTAACATTCCAATTAGCATTATCAATATAGTAGCCAACCTTAGTATAAAGGAGAGTATGAGAGGATAGCATATTGTCAATCGTACCTGTACCTAACCAATTGTCTTGTCAGAAAAGACATCCCCTTTACCCAAACGCCATTGAATAAATGGATCCGCTTCCCAGCTAATCTTACCTAATCGTTTCCAAACAAAAGAATCAGATTTTTTTAAAATACATAAAGTAGGATGCACCTCTTTACAGTACTTAGCATGCATGAAATTAGCCCATAAACTAACTTTAGATCTAAAGAAAAATCAAAGTTTATAAGAGAAAGCCCTAACCATGTGCAAAATACTCTTACAACCTAAACCACCCTCATTAAAAAAAGGGTCACATATTTTAAACCAGGAAGACCAAAGAATAGAAGACCTATTATTCTTAGCTCCCCAAAAAAACTTGTTGATCATCCTTTCCAATCTAAGGCAAATAGAAGGAGCAGGGTTAAGAGTATGAAAAATGAAAATAGTGATAGAATTTAAAACATGTTTAATAAGCACAAGTCTGCCACCGAAAGAAAGGAAATTAGTAGACCAATTGATAATTTTGCTTTGAAAAATCGTGACCATATCCTCAAAGATCATGCTTTTTTTTTTCTCCCCTTGAAAATAGGGGTACCCAAGTATTTAATAGGCAAAGAGGAACAATTAAACTCACAAATCCTTTTAATATCATTAATTCTACCTTGATTAGCATAATTAGATACAATAAAAGTACTTTTATTCTAGTTAATCGAAAGCCCACTCATTTTCTGAAACTCATTTAAATGCGTTATCATAAATGATATACTGCTAAATATGATAATAACGTATTTATTATTAAAAATATGATAATTTCAAAAGTACTTTTATACTGCTAAATATGATAATAACGTATTTACACTATAAGGTCAAATATCTAACTAAATACGTTATTATCATATTTTTAATAATAAACTTGATTAAAAATTATTAATGATCCACATTTCTAAGCAACGCTTGACCATATTGTAAAATTCTATATATCTCTGAAACCTCCAACATTTATTAGCTCCTTAATTTTGTTCCTAGCTAGTGCTATAATCTAAAAGGATAATTTGACCTCGGCGTCTCTCCCTCATCTCTCTCCTTTCCTTTTGCCATGAAGCTCCTTAATAACCTTAGTTTGAAATCACCTTTTTAACCAACGGGTTGGAGGATGGAGAAACAGAGATCGAGATGTAAGGTAAGAAAAGAGAAGATAAGAGAGAGAAATAGGGGACAACAGGCTTACAAACGCACTCATTCATTCAATCATTACCTTCTTGCTCCCCACCACCCCAAACTATCACAAGTGACATCTATTATATCTTCCCCCACATTTCCTCTTCCAAAAACTACCACACAATATTACCTGCATATCGTTACCCCACATAGCTTTAGTTTTTGGTGTTTTAAAAAAAGAAAAGAGAAAAGTTAAAACCAAACCTAACTCTTTTTCCCCACCCACATCATATGTTGATATATAATACCAACAATTGCAAGCTGGAGCTCTTCAAATCATCTTCTATTGCTTTTTTATCTTCTCAGGTTGTTTTATTCATATAGATCTGAGGCCTGAAAGGAGATTTGTTACCCATTGAAGAATGTCTGCTCCTGCTGTTCCAGACCATGTTTGCTATGTTCACTGCAACTTCTGCAATACCATCCTTGTGGTATTCATGCTAATCACGACATATCTTTATATAATTTCCTAGATGATAATTTGGTTAGAAATGCATTTTTGTTCATTTTTTGAAAGGGAAAGAATATAAGATGGCCGAGCTTCCTCTTTTGTAGTTCTTTAATTTTTTTTTTTTTCTCTTAATAAAAAATTGTTAAAGAACTATGGAGATCTTAAAAGTGTAGGCATAGGTGAAGAAATTGCTAGGTTGGCCTTAGTAGACGAGATCAAGTGATATGATATCGCTAACACTAACAGTTAGTGGCGCAAGGGTTTAGGTAAAGAAGAGCATCTCTGTGGCTCATGCTTTAGGAATTAAGTAGTCATTCTTTCATCTGCTGCACCTATTGGTGCTTGCATCTGTTTGGCTTCTTTGTTACAAAATGGAAGAAGAATATTTCTGTTTTAGGTTTTTCCAGTTTCTTTAGGGTATCATCTTTCTGAGGAATAAATTTGCCTTTTAGATGTTTCAGATTTGAACAAAGATTACTCTCTCTCTTCTCTCTTCTCCCTCTGTGTGATGAACATCTTCATATCTCTTTTTATTAAGTTCACTACAGAGATCACTACTCTCTCTCTCTCTCTCTCTCTCTCTCTCTCTGTGTGTGTGTGTGTGATGAACATTTTCCTATCTCATTTTTATTAAGTTCAGCATCTTTTACTGTACTTTCTCTGAATGTGCACCGACTAATTCCTCTATATAAAAGAGGATTTGCCCATATAGTTTTCTTTTCCTGAAAGAAATGATTAAAGTAACTAAATTTATGATAATTATATTTCGCATTATTTTTTTTATTTTAAAGTTTTAGTAGTTCCTAATGCTTTCTTAGTAAATCTGAAAGACTTCTGTTGCAGTCCGCTTGTTAAAACTATTTAATAAAAATATATACTACGATTATGGACTGTAGAGAAGCTCACTCTAATTAGGGTTTCTAGGGGCTAACAATGCAAAATAAAAAGAAAATAACGTATTAGACTTGCAAAGTAACTTGGCATCTCCGTGGACTAAACAAAATAAATAAAAAAGGTTAAAATGTAAGCATTTTTTGTTAAAAAAATGATATATTTTAATTATATTGCAAAACATTTATTTTTCATGTTAGATGATAATTAAACAAGATACTTATTTTCTGTCCAAAAATTAATTTAAAAAATATGAAGGATAATCTTAAACATCAAAAGTATCTGTCAACCTAAGCTAAATTTAACTCTAACATTTTAAATTAATTTTAATTTTCAATTTCAACTGTGTCTTCCACCTTTTCTTTTGCATTGCATTCTTATGAGCTTATTTTTTTCGTTCTTAATAGAGAATATTTTTTATAGAGAAATAATTTTTTCTTTTTTTATATGTAAAAATAAAGGAGGGTTAATTTACATAAATAAAATCTTTCTGTTTAAGAATTTTTCATCATTTGGTGAAATATATTTCGACATTCAAGCGAACAAATGACCCTGTCATAATTTCTGCGAGACTATTTGGTGAACATCCCGACAAATTCTGGGAAGAAATCATTTACTAACAAATCCTAGCTTTCATGCGATTTTTACTGTTGCTGTGCGCATTTCGCCTTTGAATTGCTGTTCATCATGTGCACTAGATAAAGAGAGAGAGGAAGAGATAGAGATAGAGAGGTAATGGCTCTTCTGTCACATCATTTTCCACTCTCTTTCTTCGCATTGGTTTTATCTGCGCTTACTTTCATTTATTTTGGAGCAGAAGTGGTCAGGAGGGTGTGTGCGCAGAAAAAGAGGGGGGTAAATTAATTGCATGAATCTTTTACCTTTAATGCTTTGGAATTTAAGCCCTACTCATGTGAGTGGTCTTCTCTTTTCCACAGAAGAGAGAAGATCTGTGTGAAGGTCCTTCAGGTTTTAAAACAGTAAAAGCAATCACAAAAAAAATTAAGAAAATGATAGATTATGTATTTGATGAACTTGAGACAATCCTTTTACATAAATTAAGTGAATAACTCTTGCGTAATCTCAACTTCCAATTGCGATATCTCCTAGAATACCATTCAAGCTCTGTTTTCCCTATCCATTCTCTCTCTCTCTCACTTTCTCTCTCTCTCTCTCTCTCTCTCCACCTACTAATCACATTGCATGAAAAAATATATTATTCCTCTCGAATTAATGTTGTAACTCCTTATAAATAGATATTCTTCATTGAAAGTGTCACAATCACTTCTTGCTCTATACAATCTTATTTCTCCTGTTCTTTTCTTTTGAAGTTCATAAAACAATGGCGTCCTTGATTAAAATTCAAACCTCCCCCATATTCCTCTCTCTCTCTCTCTTCTGGTTTTAACTTCTCTTTCTATATAATAGTACTCAGCTTTATATGTGAAGAGATTCCTGAAAGAATCGATGCTGGTGCATGCTGGTTATCAACTTATCATCAGGATAGTTCAGAGAGGTTTAATGCCACATGTTACTCTTGACAGTCATAGTCAAATGTTACAGCCTGCTGCATTTCAAAAAAATAAACTTATGTAAGCAGAGTCTCTCTCTCTACAGATTTCTATCGAGCAGTAAGAAACTTAGATTTAGGTCCGCAGAAAATCCAAGCTAAAAGTTGAAATGCTAAGAAGGATTTTTTTTTTTTTTTTGCTCTGTAGAATTAATAACAAAATGCATTACTTGCTATCTATTTCATTTAAATGAAAATTTATATATTTTATGCACCTCATCATGATCAGTTTGGTTGAAGCTTTAGCATATGTCTGAGTTTACCTTGGGCTCAAATGTCCCAAAAATAATAATAATAATAATAGTTTTTTTTTTTCTTTGAACGTTGCAGGTAAGTGTTCCAGGCAGCAATTTGTCCGCGACTGTGACAGTAAGATGCGGACATTGTGGGAATTTGCTGTCTGTGAATATGGGAGTTCCTCCTCAGTCAATGCCATTTCAAGATCTTCAGGTTCAGCCTCGCTTCTTCGTAGCACTCATTATATTTAGTTGCTTGACTTTTTCTCTAGCTTGATGAAATCAAAACTCTTATGACTTGAGAAGGATTGTTGCGTTGCGCATCGTCGGTGACAACTAAAATTGCTTATAAAGATTTAAACGTTGCATTAAACGCCTTTAGATTAAGATTTAATTTGGGACGGCAGTTTTAATACAAAATTTGTTACTTTAAAAAAAAAAACTGATTTAAAAAATAGTAAGAAAGTCATTCAAATGAAGCCTAAATCTCTATCTTCAAAAAAACAAGCATTAGCTTAATCATATCATAGCAACATATATGTGTCAATCATCTGACTTATTGTTGCTTTGTCTTGTTTCAAGCAGTAGTTTTGTGTGTTGTTTGAAATGAGAATATAAGCTGAGCTTAATTGTTCGTCATTGATCAAACACACTTTGGCCTCAGTTGTAATGAATTTCTTATTGTTTTTTAAAATGATTTTTTATATAAAAATTAAACTTTTTTTATTATAAAATTATTTTAAGAAGCAGCAAAAAAACCACCCTAAGCGAAGCCTTTATCTCAACTCTTTAACAAATCATATCATAGCAATAATTTTGTTAAACTAGTATATCAGATTCATAGATTCTGCTCTAAGGTTTCCATGATGAAACAATCCAATGTTCACTTAATTTACCCACTCGCAGCTTAAGAAACGTTGGAGCGGCTAGCTAGCTATCGCTTATGTGTGTTAATGTGGTGCATGGAATTCGTATAGAATTTCTCTAGAAAATTTTCTCCATTAAGGGGACAATGATGAAGATGTGAATTTAGAGGTTATTGCAAAATATTCTATTAAAGCTTTTCTGTTGCAAAATATTCTATTAAACCATTGTTCAATTAAGCAAATTACATAACTTCTCTTTGATCTTCACTGTCTGGTATGATCATTATCAAAAATATTATTTACAGAATTTGACGCTTCGCTATGATTAAGCTGTAAAAGCTTTTCGCTTGATTTGAAAAGCATAATAATCTTAAACCAACTTTCAAAACAACCAGCAACTCTTTTTCTATAAATAAATAAAAGCTCTTCATCATAAAAATACAAGAATTTCCCAATATGGAGAAGTTAAAGAGTCATTTTTCTTCTGTAAAGCTTATTGTAGTTTAAAGGAAGCTTTCTTCTTTTTTGACGTTTTATGAGATGACTACTACCTGGTTCAGTCTACAGTCTGGCACGCCATGAACAAAAGCAAGATTCCCCATTCAAAGAACTGTTTTTATTTATTTATTTATTTATTGTAAGAAATTGCAGGGCGCTCAGCTCTTACGTTGGAACTGCGAATCATCTTCAAATTGTAACAGGATTTCACTGTTCAATGCCGTTGGCAGTAATCAGCTGGATATGCCTCCAATACATCGTAAGTTTATCACAGTTCTGCAAAGTTGCCATATTTTCCTTGTACAATTTTGACTTGTGAAAACTTTATGTACTTAAGAAATCATATCGTACTTCCAGCAAGACATTTTAATTTTTTTAACAAAATTTTGAAGTTCATTATAACAGTTAGCTACTTGGTAATTTTTCTGTTGCTGTTGTGCTTTTATTAATCTAAAAAACAATATTATACTTGTATATTAAATTTAAAATTATCCTGAAAATCAATTTATATACTCATAAAATCATATAAAATTTGATAAATAAAATAAAAAATTTTAAAAGATTAAAAAAAAATCTTTTAAAATAAAAGATCTTAATGATGATGTTGTTACAACAATAAGATCCAACGCACTTCAAAACACAAACATAAACTAAAATCGGTATACAAAAACTACAAACACAAAGATATAAACAACCAACGGTAGGTAGCTAGGAAAACTTATTCTGTGTGGAAGCGAATCCGTTCGAATGCCTAAGCCTGTGGCTTGGTACCACTCGGTACCGCTGCTCGGTATAATTGACGTGACTTATTATGATTGGTATCCGAATGTTGAGCTCCATTCGGCATCCGCACAGAATAATCTCTCCAACAGTAGACTCTTCAGCCTCTAATTTATCATAAATAGAAGAGGTACAGTCCCACCGCTGAAGCCACCGGGCAACAAGTGAGGGCCGCAATAGTCTCGTTGACAACGCTGGAAATTAAGCAGGAGAGCAAATATGCAACAATTGCCATCGGAGCTTACTTACCTTATATGCAATAGAAAGTTTTATCTAAGAATAAACCATATATGAAATGGATTACCACCTAAATCCTATAGTTTAATGAACCATCTCTGAAATGGTGAGGCAGAGGCAAAAAGAAACTTAATGATAAGAGAGCCCATATTTCATTAGAGCTTTTGTTAACTTCTTATAATGTAGTGGTTACTTAGAGTTAGAAGCTAAGTATGGACATTTTCATTTTGTGTTTAGGTAGGTGTTTGGTTCAGGTCTTTAGTTTCCTTTATTTAGCTTTTATATTACTTTCATTTATTTTTCTTCCCATTCTTTATATTTTCATCTTATTAACAAAAATAAATAAATTCCTCTTTTGCTTATAAAACATGATATAAGACTAATTATAAATTTGTAGGAATGAGGCTACTTATTATTAAGGATGCCACATAGCTAGTTATAGATTAATTTTACATAAGGAGCTCATGAATATTTAGTTTCAAACAAAGTTTGTTGGTAGTATTGAAATCTATACCCTTTACTATGGGAACAAAGCAGCAAATTACTTAAGATAAAACACTTTGGCTTATTTCTTCACATGCATACACACTTATAAATATAAAATTAAAAAAAAAAGCAGTTTTAGAGTTAAGAGTTTCTTAAATTAGATAAAATAGTTGCTTAAATTTTATCTTTATTTCTGGCTAAAATTAAAAATATCTCAATTCAAAATTGAAATTTCTATGTTCATGTTGAGTTTGGCTCATATGATGTTAACTTAATGCAGTCCCTACTTAGGTGTGAGAGAACTTAACCTACACTATTTTTAAGGTTAAGGAACAATGTTATTCAGTTATTCAAATAGTGATTAGATAGGTAATAATAAAGTGCATAATTAGAGAATTAGAAGTTATGTCTTCCATCTAAAAACTACTCATTTTTATTGGTCTTCGAAGATGAAAGAAATTTTTATATTATCCCATAATTAAAAAAATTATACAATAATAGCAACATTAAACACTATGAATTCGATATGGCTAAGAAAATTGTTATAAGAACTATAAAATACTCAAGAAGTTCAAATGATAATTGTCATTTATAATAAGGTGGCAATTCAACTTGTAATGAAGCCAATTTGATATTGATGAAGACAACATATTTATATAAGATTCCATCGATCTCCTTTCAGGACTATTTAAAAAAGATCACATAACAGTTCCATAATATAGTACTAAGGATAACCTCTACATGCATCTTTCTTTGTTTTTTTCTTTAAAATTCATAGAGGGGTCTAAGCATTAATTAAAAAAAATGATTATAAGTACTTAAAGGGATCTAAAGCCACTAATGCTCAGAGAGCTACATAAAAAAAAAAATACCATTAGCTTAAGATCCCTCTACTAACTTACAAGAAAAGAGAAACAAAGAAAACCCATGAGGTAGTAAGGGGCCACAACCCAAAAAAGAGCCTAGGCCTAAATATTCAATAAAGGCCAGCTGGAGGGAAAATATGACAAAGGAAGAGGAAAACCTCCACAAATTAGCATTCGAGCATCTAGCCAAAATTTGTACACAACCCCATACAAATCAGCATGAAGAAAATAAAAGAAAAAACTTGAGGCCGTAAGAAAAGTTTAGAAGCAACAAAATTGAAGTCGGCAAATTTGCTTAGAGAATCAAAGGCAGAAAGAAGCAAAGTAACCAAGAGTCCTACAAAGCATTGAAGTCGGCAAATAAAAACAGATTAGTTGAAGAAACCCAATAGGAAAAAGCACAAAAAACTCGAAACAATATTACTCTCAAACAAACCAAGAGAGAATTCAAGAACCACATTCTCAATTAAACATACTACCATAGACAAATGAAAGGAATCTATCACACGGCAAAAAAGTAGAACACCACAGTCAGGAAATCCAGAAAAAAGTCAAAACCAGAAGCAGTAAAAATTACAAGAATATGAATCCAATTCTCAAAGATATTATTCCAACATCCAAACATGCAGTAGAAAATTAAGGAATCATTAGAAAGCAACAACAACATGAACATAAATCCTATTCCCCAAGAGATCCACAAAGACATGAATAAAAAATAACAACAACCCATAAAAAGCGAAGCAAAGCAAGCGAGGCAAATCATCTTGAACAACAAATAAACCACAAGCAAAAATACCAACATATGGATAATAAAGCATGATTAAAATGATCAAATGCAAACTACATGATAACACAGAAGGTTAAAGATCACCAGTGAGAACAATGTAGGACCAACGAAACCCAGAACCCTGCTAAAAAATTATTAAGGTTAGTGATAACAAATAACTTCTTTAAATAATCCTAAAAGAGATTAAACATATAATTTTCTTATGTGGTTTACTTCCTAGAAAATTTGTTCTACTTCTCCACTATTTCCTCCTATTGTTCAAGTGTTGCGTTATCATTTTCGTGGCTATGCCTTTTATCATCAACACCCCTTATCTTTCACAATCCAAGTTAGCTCTTTTCCTTCTGCTGACATCTATATTTAAGAATCTAGTATATCATGGTAGTTCATGGATAAAATCCTCTTATTGGCCACATTTTTCTCATTTATAGGTTCTTTTTTTTTTTTCAAAGGAGACTCTATATTGGCTCAATCAAGAGATTATCCAACTATTGAAATTCACACTATATTATAAATTAACAATTCCATTAATTACTTGAATGAGGAAATTAATTCATAAGCTTGTCTATTTAAACATACTATAGTTAGAAAATTTTAAATTAAAATACAGTTTATAGAGATACTACATCTTTTCTTTATATTAGGTTATACCTAAAATATTATTTCTTTGTTGAACTTTTTGATTATATACATGTTCTTGTTAGTTGGGCTCTAAAATAGAGATTATTATAGTAAGATCTTCACAAGAAGAATCAATTATGTTAATATTTGTAATGAGATTTTTTAATTAATTACTATTAGTTTTTTTTTAAAATAATAAAGAAGATTATCCTTTTATATCCATTTAGATCCCCTTCCCTTTTCAAGTTCACTTTATGAACAACAATATCCTTTTCTCATTATCTTAAATTTAAAGTTGCCTCCTAAAATGAACTTAGCAATTGCCTTGCTCTCTATGGTGTTTATTTCTAAAATTTTGGCATATTTCATGAATATATATTGTCCCTATAAGAAAGAAGTTTGGGTAATTGGATATAAACTTATAATTATTTCAAAAAATTGTAATATGAAAAAATTTCCATCCTTTCTCTCATGAAGTCATATTAATGGTTACCTTTTAATGAACATTTTAAACTCCATCCTCATATAAGGAACACCAATAAGGAGAATATATCTATAGCAGTGGGTGATTTAGATAATCAACTTTATATCACTATCATTTGCATTAAAAACTCAAAATCATGAAAATTTAATGGAGCTAAATACCTTAAAATAGTATATCTTCCTAAAAGGTTAAGATCCAAGAACCTCGTGGACCTAATGAAAATTTTTTTGCCTAAATAAGATTAAAGTGGGCGATGGGAATTTCGTAATTGATATGTATCTTATTTAGTGGGTGATCCTTAGAGGGATTCAAAACTCACTAAATGCTCCAAGAGCTACAAACAAAGGTGAACAAATCTAAATAGTTAATGATCCCAATCTAATTACGAGAAAAAAGCAAAAGAAAGGGAAGAAAATCAACAAAAATCCAAAAAAATCAGCCCAAGCTTGAATAAACCGACCTTCATCTCCTAAAAACAAAGTATTCTTTAGTTAAAAATATTACTCTAGAAGTTATTCTCCTTTTGTCCTCATCTCTTTAACAAATCCAAGTGACCCCTATTACTACTCTTCTTAATCATAGTGATAATATAAAATAAAGATTAAAACCAACTCTTTTTTTTTTTTTACTTTTAGTTTAATTTTTATGGAGTTTTATATCATAAAAAAGTGAGTACAAAGACCTAAAGAAGGATCCAAAAATCCCTAAATCCTCAAAGAGCACGTCAAAAAGAGAAAATGAAACTTCATGAGCAAAGGATCCCATCAAATTTCAAAAAGTAATGCAGAAAATGAAAAGACCGAAGCAAAAACCTTAAAAAATGCCTATAGGAAAGCAGAAGATGCATAAATCCTCTTTAAGATCAATAGGCATGAAGCTAAAGACATCTTGAAAGTAAAATTTGGCAAAGCTCATCAATGTCTATGAAAGGTGTTACTAGCTTGGATGGTACATCAACTTCTCAATTAGTGCTAGATGCTTGCAAAAAAAGGAGTAAG